GTTCTCTCGGTTTTTCCTCTATCTCTCTCAATATGTGCGAGTGTTTATGAGTCTAAGAGCTTATAATGGCTGAACAAAGAGTGTATATAGCAGTGGAATTTCAACTTCATCCATCAGTTTCTCAGTGGGGAATTTTTGTATATTTAAGCACCAACAGAACAATTAGATATGCTCAATGGGCTGAATTGTTGTGTGATAGAAACACTTGGGGACCAGATTGGTTCACAATTGGTGATTGGAATGACATCACTTCCTGTGCAGAGAAAGTGGGAGGCTTATTTAGACATCCTAACTTCTTCTCAGGGTTTAACACTTTCATCAACAACATGGAAATGGAGGAGATCAAAATGGATGGCCATCCCTTTACATGGTGCAACAACCGTGCTGTTCATCACCTTGTAGGAGAAAAGATGGACAGAGCTTTGGGCTCCTCTGACTGGATTCATCCAAATGCCACAGTCACAAACATGCTAAGGAGTGCCTCTGATCACACAGCTCTCTTACTGGACATGGGGCTGCCTAGGGTGAGGAAAAAACCATGTTCCATTTTGATAAAAGGTGGTTGGGTAGAGAGGATTGTGAAGCAGTGGTCACTCAGGCTTGGAAAACTACAGTCAATGGCACACCCTTTTTCAAGTTGAAAGAAAAAGTCAAGCTCACAAGAATTGCACTACTTAAGTGGAGTTCATCCTTTCAGACTCAAAACCAGGAAGTAATTGCTGCTCTCAATCAGAAACTTAAAACCTTGAATGTGGAAAAAACCAACATTGACTGGACAGAATGGGAGTCTACCAAGAGAAGTCTAAATTGGGCTCATAAGCAGGAGGAAATGTACTGGCAACAAAAAGCCAGACGGAGGTGGTTGAAGGAAGGAGATGCCAATACAAGGAGAAGGCACAATGCCATTACCAGACTTGTTTCTCCACAAGGCAGAATTTTCTCATCCCAATCAGATATTGAGAGACACATTGCAGATTTTTACACAAACCTCTTTTCAACAGAAGGCTGCTGGGGAGGGAAATCTATCCTTCCCCTGATTCCATCTTCCATCACCTCAGACATGAATCAAGCTTGCTCAAACCAGTAGAAGAAGAAGAAGTCCACTCTGCCCTCTTCAGTTTTCAACATGACAAATCCCCAGGAGAGGATGGGATGACAGCTGCAAGTTTCTTCCAGTCAGGTATGCTTCTTAAATACTGGAACCACACTGTGATCTCCTTAATTCTCAAATGTTTCAATCCTGAATCCTTGGAAAACTTTAGGCCCATCAGCCTTTATAGCATTGTGTATAAACTCATCTCTAAAATTCTGGCTTAAAGACTCAAGTCCTATTTAAACTGCTGCATAAGTGATTCTCAAGCTGCCTTTATGGAAGGTAGACAGTTAATTGACAATGTAATTATTGCTCAAGAAGCATTCCACTTCTTGAACAGACAATCTACAGGTCCTAACTTCTTTATGGCACTTAAATTGGATTTAATCAAAGCCTTTGATCGTGAAGAGTGGTTGTGCTTGAAAAAGAATTATTCTGCAGATGGGTTTTCACAGTGACTTTGTGAAGCTGATAATGATATGTGTGACTACTGCTCATTTTCTTTCAAAATCAATGGCTCTCTCAGTGGCTATGTAACTCCTTCTCGTGGTATAAGTCAAGGGGATCCCCTTTCCCCTTACCTGTTTATCATTGTGGCTGAGCTTCTCTCTGCTTTGATCCTGCACTCAATTAACAATGGCCATCTCAAGGGCATGAAAATTTCTAGGAATGGCCCTCTGCTTTCTCACCTTCTTTTTCCAGATGACTCCTTATTTTTTTTCAAAGCAGGTACTGACCAGGCAGTCATCTTAATGACCATTCTTGAGCAATACAGACTGTTCACTGGTCAATCAGTAAATTTGCAAAAGTCTGCCATATTTTTCAGTAAAAATACACCACAACATCTTCAGTCATCTATTTGCTCTGCATTAAATGGAATTGTCTCTCACAGATCCACTAGATACCTTGGGCTTCCACTTGGAATAGGTAGAGCTAAAAAAGAAGTCTTTGATTATCTGCTCACTTCTGTCAAAAACAAACTGGTCAGTTGGAAAGCTAAGCTGCTTAGCACTGCTGGTAAAGAGGTGTTACTCAAATTTGTTATCCAGGCCCTTCTTATCTTCTCTATGTCATGTTTCAAGCTTTCGTGAACTCTTTGCTCTGAAATTTCAAGACTATGTGCTCAGTTTTGGTGAAAATCAGGAAATGATGACACAAAAGGTCTTCACCGGAAAAAATGCAGTTTTCTGTCTCTCCCAAAACAGCATGGTGGATTAGGCTTCCATGACTTGCAGCTTTTCAATAAGGCACTACTTTGCAAAAAGCTCTGGAGGATTGCCTCAAATCCTGATCTTTTAGTCAACAGACTCTTAAAAGACAGGTACTTTCCTCACACATCTATCATTCATGCTGTTAAAACACAAGGTGCTTCTTGGATGTGGAATAGCTGGATGGAGGACATGCCTTTATTTTCTAAATGGTTAAGGAATGAAGTCAAAAATGGTGTCAGCACAAAAACTTCAATTGGATACCAAATTTTCACAAGCCTGCCCCCACATTAATTCCTATTGCAAGAGATCATCTGATTTGGGTGAAGAATTTGCTGCAGCCAAATGGATCACAGTGGAATGAGTGGTTGGTTTCTCAGGTGTTTGATGAAACAGACAACAAAGCCATACTTGGAATTTCTTCTCTTAATCCAGCCAGAAATGACAGACTGTTTTGGGGGTTATAGAAGAAGGGCCACTTTACTGTTTCTAACACCTACAAATATCTCTCATCACTCAAACTTCTTCAATAAAATTTTCTAGAGAGCAGTTCAAACTCAAATCTCAAGTTGGCAACTAAGTTCAGATTCTGAAAACTGGAGATTGCTAACAAAATCAAATTCTTTATATGGAAATGTATAACGGGTACTCTCCCAGTGGCTGTTCATTTGTGGAAAAGAGGGATAGAACTTGACATTACCTGTTCCATCTGTGGGGAAGCATCAGAATCAGTGGAGCACCTCTTCTTTGAATGTCCTCGAGCCACCAAGTTCTGGAAGTTAAGTCCAGTGCAATGGGATGGATTGCAGACCTCTACTGACTCATTTAAAGCATGGTGGTATCAAGTGTGCAAACTGGATAAATCTGAAGTGGCTGAAGCAAGGATTCAACTCTCAACGTATCTGCTTTGGTGGCTTTCGAAGTCCAGAAACTTCTGGATTTTTCGAAAGACCTTAATACCTGAGCATGCTTTACTTCAAATGGCACATTCTGACTGGCTCCAGTTTTCATCAGCTTCTCTCTAGCTTTCACTTGTTTTATTTTTATTTCTGTTGTTAGTTTGTTTGGAATGTTAGCTCAATGCTAGGCTTTATAGCAGTGGTAGGGGGCATCATTTCTGTATTTTGTGATTGCTTTTGCTTTCTCTAGTTGAGGTTCTAGGCCGTCTCTAACGAGCCTCCCATGTTTTTCTTTTTAGTAGACCGTTGTTTTCATGTATTCGAGCATTGTTCGGCCCGAGTTTTTATTATAGTTATCTCTATAGTTTCGGGAAAAACAAAGAATATATTATCTTTACTAACTAAATATGCACCAACAATATGAATCAAGTATGCACTGTTTATGAACTAAATATAAATCTACGTATGAACAAAATGAGCATTTTGCATGAACTAAATATATAACGAAAATATGTAATTAAATGTGCATTTTATATCATTAATTTAAATATGATGATAATTATTTTTTACTATATAATTAATGTAAATTTAATCTGATTAATATGAATCATTGATTTACACAAGTATATAGCTACGATTGGATCTCACATGAAGTAAGTATGCACTTTCATGATCTAAATATGCATTCATATGAACTAAATATGCATTCATATGAACTAAATATGTATTATGTATATAATTAATTAATATAATAAATATCCACTATGATGAACTCAGTATGAATAATGAATTAACTAAATATGTATTATGTATACAATTAATTTAAATATAATAATATGCACCCGTATAACTAAATATGCATAATGATAGAACTAAATACGCACTCGGCGGAGAGCTTTCGACCATTGTTTCGGTCTTCCTCTCGTTTGATTTCAACTCCCTTTTGTTTCCAGTTTTAATTCCCTCCATCACCCTTATATCTTCTTGCTTCACTACCCTTATATCTGATTGCCTTATCTTATCCATCAAATTTGGGGATTAGGTTTTTTGGTCAGCAATGACTTCTACTCCCTGTATAGGAAAAGACGACGATCTTCCCAACGTTTAAAAGTCTTCTCTCTATCCGACAGGGAAAACAAACCCATCGATATTGAGAATGATGACATACGTATCAGCGATGAAGAGTGCAACCGAAGTCTCTTCGGCAAAATTATTGGAGACAGAAAAGCAAACTGGATAGGGATAAAGCATACAATGACACAAATATGGAGATTACAACAGCCTATGGAAGTTAAGGAGCTTGGTTACAACTATTTCCAGTTCCTGTTTCAAAGTAGGGAAGACCTTGAACACGTCGCAAATGGAGACAATTGGATCTTTGAGAACCAATACCTAGTGCTAGCAGAATGGCAAAGAGGACTCTCCATCAACCATCAAGTCTCCCAGGAACTCAATATCTGGGTGCAGGTTTTCAATGTTCCACTAAATTGGCTAAGCATAGAAGTCGGCCTTAAAATCGGTAAGTTTTTCCCAACTGTGAAAAATGTGGTGGTGGTGGGAGCAGGCCACCATAAAGGCAAGATATTGCGACTGCTGGTATCAGTTAACCTACTTGAACCCCTCCCTCGTTGTGTAAACCTTAGACTGGTAGCTGAGAACGTTAATGCCAGTTTTAAATATGAGAAGCTTGTAAACCACTGCCATTATTGTGGATATATTGGCCACTTAGATAGAAGCTGCACCAGAAGAATGAATGATATCAAGAATGATTTAGTGAGTGAAGGCCAATATGGCGATTGGATGAGGGCCCCTGATGGACAATACTGGATAGGTCCAAATACCTCTGAATCACAAAGTCCCCCTCAATTTGTAAAACCACCATCCCCAACTCATAATACCCCTGTTCAGACCACTAGCAGCCAGGTTAAAGAAAATCATCAGATTCTCCTATTGATTACTGAATCTCCTGAGAATGCTGGGTCATATTCTAAATCCTCACACTCTAGGATTCATCACTCCACAGCTAAACCCCTCAATATCAGAAATCAAGAATCTGCCAAGTCTGCTGAATTAACTATGGTGATTTCAGAGCCAGTGGTGCCAATCAGAGAAATGTCTCTAGAAAACGTCAAGAATTCTCACGTGATGATTGGTTCTCAGAATATTAGAACCAAATTCTGGAAAAGATCTTCATCCATGGAGGGCAGACTGCAGGGAAGAGATGGTACCTCAACATAACACTCCTACACTGAAGGGAAAGAGAACCAGAGAAGAGAAGGATGCCATTTTCACAGATAATGAAGGTCACCAAATCAACCAAGATGAAAGTAAGAAATTGAAGAGTTCAACTGACAAGGTGGGGTTTATACAGTTTCCCAAATCAGAGAGTTACAAAGAACTCACCACCCAACTCTTCTTTTTCTGTTTGAAACCAAAAAACAAAATGGCTTTGTGAAATCAATTATTAGAAAACTTGGCTTTGATACTAGATATTCCATTGTGGATCCCACAGGTCAAAGTGGTGGCCTCCTATTACTCTGGTCAATGGAGGCTCAAGTCTTTAACATTGTCAGTAAAGACTTCTACATTACAGTGGAATTCTCCACACCAACTATGACAAATCCTGGGGGGTGTTTGTTTAGCTGAGTACCTGCACATACAGAAGAACAAATCAATGGCAGCAACTGGTGAAAGATATGAATCATTGGGGAGCTAAATGGTTTATTATAGGAGACTGGAACGATATTCTCTCTAACTCAATGAAAAGAGGAGGTAACAGAAGGTCAGCAACAAGTTTGATGGGATTCAGAGACTTTGTCAATGATATGGCCATGGTGGAAATCAAGATGGAGGGATATTGTTTCACTTGGTGTAACAATAGAAACTCAGAAGGGCTAGTGGAAGAGAAGTTAGATAGGGGTTTTAGGTCCCATGAATGGCTGGCTGATTTCCCTACTGCAACCATCACCAATGAGGCTAGAAGTGGTTCTGGTCACTCACTTCTCCTCCTCAACTCTGGTATCAAAAAGGAAAGAATCAACACCAAATTCCACTTTGATAAAAGGTGGCTGCTGAGAGATGGTATTCATGAAGTAGTGAAGACAACATGGAATGTTCAGCTTAGAGTTACTCTTTTCTTTCAGCTGAAAGAAAAGATTAAGCTGACAAGACAAGCCCTTATCTTGTGGAGTACAAAATTCAGAACTGAACAACAGCCTAAATTTACTCATCTCAACAAGAAATTGGAAATGTTGCAAAGCAGTAGATTAGAAGGGAAATAGGAGGAGTAGAACTCTACCAGAAAAGAATTAGAAGATATTCACAAAATGGAGGAATTATTCTGACAACAGAAGGCAAAATCACAATGGCTCAAGGAGGTGACAGAAACACCAAATTTTTCCATGCTCTGACCCTCTACAGAAGAAGGCATAATGCTATAACTAGGCTGATCACCAACCAGAACAGAGTTTGTACTTTCCAGAAAGACATTCAAGATCACATTTCTGGATTTTATTCCAACCTGTTCTCATCAGAAGGGTCTTGGGGAGATGATTTCTGCTTCCACTCATCAAAACCTCAATAACCCAAGACATGAACCAATCACTTCTAAGGCCGGTTTCAGAAGAGGAAATCCACATAGCTCTATTCAGCCTCAGCTCAGACAAGTCCCCTGGGGAAGATGGTATGACAGCTCTTTTCTACCAATCTTTTGGGATTTGATTAAATCTGATTTGATAGCTGCTATATCTAGTTTCTTTGCTAAAAATGGTTCACTGCTTAAATACTGGAATCATACCATTCTAACTCTTATTCCAAAATGCTCCAATCAGAACTTCTCACTCATTACAGGCCAATTAGTTTGTGCATTGTAGTTTATAAAATCCTTTCTAAGACTCTTTCTTTGAGATTGCAAACTTGCCTGGACAATTTCATTAGTCAAACTCAATCTTCCTTCCTCAAAGAGAGACAAATATTTGATAATGTGATTATAGGGCAGGAAGCTTTTCATTTCCTTGACAGACATACTTCTGGGAAAAATCATTTTATGGCACTGAAACTTGATCTCATGAAGGCTTTTGATCGAGTAGAGTGGATCTGTATCAAAAAGATTATGCTCCAGATGGGTTTTCGACTGGAATTTGTGAATTTAATTATGATCTGCATTTCATCTACTTCCTTCTCCTTTAAAGTGAATGATACAGTGAGTGGCTATGTAATTCCCTCCAAGGGAATAAGGCAAGGGGACCCACTTTCCCCCTACTTATTCTTAATTGTTGCAGAGGTGCTCTCTACTTTGGTTTCTGATGCTGTTGATAAAGGAAATTTGAATGGGCTGAAGTTGACAAGGAATGGCCTTGCAATATCTCATTTGCTCTTTGCAAGTGACTCACTATTCTTCTGCAAAGCTAGCAATGATCAGGCCATTTTGATTCTCAATATTTTAGAAAGATACAGGTTATGTACAGGCCAAAGGGTCAATCTCCAAAAATCAGCCATCTTTTTTTGCAAAAGCACACCTCAGTTTTTACAAAGGTAGATTAGTGCTACATTGCAAGGCATCATTGCTCAGAGGTCAACAAAGTATTTGGGCCTTCCACTTGGGATAGGCAGAAAAATCCAGGCCTATCAATACATTTTGGAATCAGTCAAATCCAAACTTCACAGTTGAAAATCTAAGCTCCTCTCTCAAGCTGGCAAAGAAGTCCTACTCAAGGCGGTTATTCAATCTTTACCAGTATTTTCAGTATCCTGCTTCAAACTTCCTGCCACCATTTGTGCTGAAATTAATAAATTATGCTCCCACTTCTGGTGGAGCAAATGTGATGACCATGCTAGAGGCTTGCATTGGAAGAACTAGAATTACCTATCATTGCCTAAAGAGGAAGGAGGTTTGGGTTTTCTTGACATTAAAAATTTCAACATTGCTCTGATTTGCAAACAGCTTTGGAGGATCACATCTCAGCCCCAATTATTGGTTAGCCAGATATTAAAGGACATGTACTTTCCTGATTGTTCAATCTTTTCAGAAGTTAAAACTCAAAAATGCTCCTGGATTTGGTCCAACTGGCTTAAGGTCATTCCTATCTTTGCTAAGGGTTATGCTGTTGAAGTTAGAAATGAGAAATCAACAAGACTTGATGATGTTAACTGGGTGCCCTCATTATCAAAATCCATACCTTCTCTCTTAGATATTGCCAGAGGCCATATTACTTCGGTGAAAGAGCTGCTGAATGACACAGGACAAGGCTGGAATGACTGGATGGTAAAGCAGCTATTTGATGACATTGACAGCAAGGGCACCCTCAATATCTCAACTCTCAAACCAGGTGCCTCTAACCATAGTTCTGAAGGTCCGCATCGGCCGGTTCGACCGGTTCAACCGGGAACCGATCAACACAACGGTTCGGTTTGAGGTATAAAACCGCTTAGCTCAAAAACCGTTTACAAACCATTCAAACCGGTTAAAAACCGGACAAACCGAAAAACCGGGAAAGGTTCACTGGCCCAACGATTCAAATTTGTACTTTAAAGTTGGACTGCAATGTAGATATTTGGACTGCAATGAACAAGCCCAATGTGATGCAGCCCATGAACTTTTAATTTTTAACTAAATGCTGGCTCACCACTTGGTTTTCTGCGAGTGAGGAGTGGCCAAAGGAAGGTTATTATGTGCTTCTTTTTATAGCAAATGTCTCCTTCATTTTAGCTTTCCCAAGCGATGTGGGATAACATGATTCCAAACAATTTATGGGCTTAGCGTCTTTCACACAATTGAAAGAAAATGCACTTAACATCTTGCTTTTATTTCTTATTTTTTACATTTATGTTAGTCAACTAAAAATAAACATATTTAGATAATTAATATATATATATATAGAGAGAGAAATTATTATTAGTTAATTTAAGTGTTTGAATGTTTTAAATTAGCTTAATATTTAATTAATAAAGTTTTTGTACATAAATTTTATTATATAAAATATTATATATGTTTAAAAATATTAAAAAATTAAATACCGGTCCAACCGGTTCAACCACTGGTCTGACCAGTGAACCATTGAACCAGTAGTTTGACCAATTCGATGACCGGTCCGGTTTTCAGAACATTGCCTCTAACAGACAATACTGGAAAATTGATAAGAAAGGAGTTTTCTCAGTAGCTAGCACCTACTCATTCCTCTCCAAACAAAAAATCCTTAATCTTGATATACCCTGCAGCAGCAACTCCTCAACAAGCCAGAGTCTATACAGATTTTGGAAGCTTAAAATTCCAAGGAAAATCAAACACTTTGTTTGGAAATGCATCAGTGGAACATTGCCAGGCAAAGCCAACTTGTTCAGAAGGGGTCTTGATGTGGATACTACCTGCCAAGTATGTGGTGAAAGTCCAAAAACAGTTGAACATCTACTTTTCCATTGTACCAAAGCAGCTAGAATGTGGGACATTTCTCCTGTGAGCTAGGATGACTTACACTCTGTAATTTCCTTTAAATCTTAGTGGAGACACATTTGCAGTGGCTCGTATTCAACTCACCACCTATCTGCTTTAGTGGTTGTGGAAATGCCGGAATCTTTGGATTTTTCAACATCAACTACTGTCTGATCATCTTCTGATCAAATCTGCTCATTTGGACTGGATGGAGTTCTCTCGGGGTTAAGCTTTTAGTCTGGTTTTGCTTTGTTTTTTTGTTTAGTTTGTACTTGTTTTATTTCTGTTTGTTTTCTTTTTTAGTCAGTCTTGGTTGGTTGATCTCTAGGCCTTATGGCAGTGGAGGTTGGTTACTGAGTTGTGTTCTTGGTTAGGCTTGGCCTAGGCCGCTTCAAGCGTGTCCTCTCATTTTATCTTCTTATTCGAGTGTGGCTCATTGTACTGAACTTTGTATGGTTTATTTGGAGATAATACATCCTCTATCGTTCCGTTAAAAAAAATGCATTATGCATATAATTAATTTAAGGCAAAATTGCATATTAATACACCACCTTTCATGTTTTTGCAATTTAATCATCACCTTTGTAATTTAGCAATTTAATACACCACTTTCACTATTTTTTGCAATTCAAATCACAAGGCCCAATTCGGGCTTTTTCTGCTGACATGGCATTGACATGATATTTTTTTGCTGACATGGCATTCCACGTGTCAATGACATGACATTTTTATGCTGACATGGCATTCCATGTGTCAATTAGAAATAAAAAAAGTTATGCTGGCCATGAGATTCGAACCAGAGACTTGAAGGATAAATGGTAGTAATGCTACCACCACACCAATCCAAGTTACTTTATAAATCTTTAGCGTTTATATATATAGCGTTACGTACGATTAAATCAAATTAAATTTTAAACAATAATATAAATTAAATTAATAAAATTAAATTTATAATAAATTAAATTAATAAAATTAAATTTATAATAAATTAAAGGAAACTAAAATTATTATAATAAATTAAGATGAAATATGTTATAGTGGAATGAATTTAAATAAAACTAAATTAAAATATATTTATATGTTTANGTGCTGGGAGACCAGAGGCAGGCTAAACAATGTTACGAGATAACATTCAAGAGATAGAAAGCTGAGGCCAAGAAGAAAGAACATGGTGCCGAGGAGAATTTGTGCAACAAGAAGAGTAAAGAAAAGGCTGAAAGTCCACTCAAGACCAAGCTGATGGATGTCACACTTGTCAATAAATTAGGAGCGAGATCGGTCAAAGCATAAACGCAGGGAATATTTTATTATTTCATAATTAGCTATTATATTTATTATTTTAATTTATTTTATTTAATTTTACCTTTTATTACTTTCTTACCTTATATTATGTTATTTTTATATTTTAAATGGTGTACTTTAATTTAGTTTATTTTTAATTTAATTTTATCATTATTATTTTTTATTTTCAAATTTATATAATTAATTTAATAAATAATAAATATATTTAAATTTATATTTATTTAAATTCATTCTACTATAACATGTTTTATCTTAATTTATTTTAATTATTTTATTTTCATTTAACTTTATATCATTGAATTTATTATAATTTTATATTTTATTAATTTAATACATTATCTTTTAAATTTAATTTGATTTATTCATATTTAACTCTATATATATAAAACGCTATTAAATTAATCATGTAACTAGGATTGGTGTGGTGGTGGCACTACTACCTTAAAAGCTTCAAGTCTCAAGTTCGAATCTCATGGGCAACAAAATTTTTTATTTCTAATTGACACTTGGAATGCCATGTCAGCACAAAAAATGCCCTGTCATTGACACCTGAAACGCCATGTCAACAAAAAAAATGCCATGTCAGTAGAAAAAGCCCGAATTGGGTCCTGTGATTCGAATTGCAAAAAATAGTGAAAGTGGTGTATTAAATTGCTAAATTACAAAGGTGATGATTAAATTGCAAAAACGTGAAATGTGGTGTATTGATATGCAATTTTGCCTTAATTTAAATACAATAAATATGCTCTATGTTGAAATATGTATTTCTTATACCTTAATGTTCATAATGAATTAACTAAATATACATTATGTATATATTTAATTTAAATATAATAGATATGAACCACATATGCATAATGAATAAACTAAATATGCATTATCTATATATTTAATTTAAATATAATAAATATGCATTATCTATATAATTAATTTAAATATAATAAATATGCATAATGAAATAAATATGCTTTATATGTATATTTAATTTAAATATAATAAATACGCATTATGATGAACTAAATATGTCTAACGATTGAACTAAATATGCATTAGGTATTACATTATGAAAAATACTACAAGTACATAATAAATATACATAGAGGTGTACATAACACTCAAATAGAGTGAGGTCCACCTGATTTTTTATTTTTGGTCGATCTCACTCAGTGTGAGTGTTATGTACATCCCTATGTACAATATTATGTACCTATAACATTTCTCTTACATTATTTATATAATAAGAAACAAAAAATTGTTACATCAAATTAATTATATAATTAATATACAACAATAATATGAACTACGTATTTGAACTAAATATGCACTAAGCATGAATTAAATGCACATTTTGCATTAACTAAATATGCAACGTAATTATGAAACTAAATGTGTATTTTATATAATTATTTTAAATATAAAAAATAATATTTTTATTAATGTAAATTTGAATTGATTAATATGATCCATTAATGTATACAAATAAATAGCTATGATTTGACTCACATAAACTAAATATTCACTATGATAAACTAAATATGCATTTCTTATTATATGTATATGCATTATGATTATATTAATTATATAGTGAAAAAACAAAAATAATGTATCAAATTAATTATACAATATAAAAATATATAGTGACCAGTTTGAACTAAGTATGTATGCAAATATGCATTTTTTTTATGAACCATATATGCATTGTGTATGAAGTAAATTTACACTCAAAATATGCAGTTTTTATGAACTAAATATGCATTTGCTATGAACTAGTTATGTATTTGTATGAACTAAATGTGCAACAATAATATCAACTAAGTGTGCATTGTTTATGAACTAAATATGTACTTTGTATGTACTAAATATGCATTTTGTGTAAATTAAATGTGCTGTCAAAATAGACAATTGACAATGTGCAGTGAAAATAGGCACTTGGGTGCAATATCGTAGCATTCTACTGTTTTTTGTTCTCAATTAAGTATGCATTATTTATAACTAAAATATGTATTGTGTACTATTATCTAATATGCACAAGAAATAAACTAAATGTACATGAATTATATGATATAAAAGCTCAAAGGCCATATTGCAGTTATTCAAACTTTAAATAAGTTACAAATTGTACCCCAAGGATAAAATTACGATAATTATAAATTTCTGAAATTGTAATTTAATCCCCAAAAATTATTAAATGCCCAAAAGCAATCCCTGCCCCAAATCTAAAAATCCTCTTCCTCTCAACACCCTAGCGCTCAGCTCCGCCTCCATTGGCATCCTCGCCTTAATCCACCTCCCAGATCACTTCACCGAACTGAAACGGAGATGCTGACGGAGACGTCGACATCCTACCGAATTGCAATGGAGACGTCGACCGAGGAGATAGTTGGGATTTCCAGCGAATTGGTCTATTTCCTCTCTAGGGAATACCCCGAATTGGTCAATTTCAGACGAGAAGATAGTTGGGATTGGATGAACGTTGGGACGGCGGCCACAAGAAGGCCTCACTGGCCACGGGTGGGGGCTTCAGCGTCGTAGGCCGAAAGAAGCAGCAGCAGCTCCGACAGCCTCGAGCGGGGGTTTTGTCATCGCCGACCGGAAGGAAAAGCACCAGCAACTCTGGCGGCCGCAAGTGGGGGTTCCGGTCGCCGAGTTTGGCTTCGGGCGGTCCACGACCGCCGTTCAACGCTGGTCTAAAGTAAATATGTTTACTATATATTTTATTTAATTAAAATAATAATTATTTTTTGTTTTACAATTAATATGTATTCAAATCGATTAATATGAACCATTGATCAACACAAATCAATGATTAATATTAAATCTCAAATACTCATTTTAAAGAGTTTATTTGATCCACCCAATATGTGTGTTTGTTTGTGTGTGTGTTTTAATCGGAGTATGTTGCACGGTAATAATGTAAACTCAATCTTAAACTTTCCCTATTTTCATATTTAGTTCAAAAACGATATAGATTTTCAATTTCTAATGTATATTTAATAAGCTAATAGTAAATAAGAAATTATATAAATATTTGGGCAGACTGTGAATAGATATTTGGTAACACACAGGAAAATAAGTGGTAATTGAGCACAATATTTATGATAGCTGATCGGATCCTTTGAGTAAAAGGGCATGCCAACAGCAAAATTAATGCTTTTCCTTATCACTTAACGTGACTTTTAATATATAATACTCCCTCCATTTTGAAATATAAGGCATTTAAGGTTATTGCACAAATATTAAGGAGACATTAATTAATGAATAAATTGACTAAATTAACCTTATTTACTCTAATCACAACCACTCCACACTTCCTTAATTTCAACATAATGAGGGTATATTTGGAAAAAAATGCAAAAATTTGTCTTGATTTTTGAGCGCGCCTTATATTTCAAAAAAAATGAGAAATCTTTATACGCCTTATATTTCAAAATGGAAGGAGTACAAATTATGTTTAAAGCATTTGCTAATAGTAACAAACTCAATCACTCAACTCCTTATATGATGTTCGTCCTTATAGTAGAAGATATTGTTATTTTGTGTTCGTCCTTTTCTTCATGTGTTTTATTGTAATTATCTTGTAATTAGTGTTGGGATGATTTTTTTGACCAGTTTGGTTGTATAGGGGGAATGAATTTCATATCCCTCGTTGGTTTGTAATAGCTATGACTATTAGGAATTTTGGCAATCCGTTGATTGCTAGACATTGTTGTATTTTGAATTTCTGTCTTAATGAATATTTTGTTGACAAANCTTCCCCTCAACAGAGCCTTCTCTGCAGTGTCCATCTCCGCCAAGATTCTCTGCTTCCTCTTAGCCGGGATTGGGGCGGTTGGGCCGAAGCTAATGTAGTGTCCCGAAACAGCATTTAGAGCCGAGTACATGTCTCTGAACGAAGCCCGGCCCAACAGCGTTTTCTCCCGCCGGTACTTGGCCACCCAAGCGTTGGACGTCTCCCGGAGCTCCGCCACAGCGGCGGCGACGCTGGGGTCGGTCTTATCGAGGGTTATGGTGTTCCTTACCTTGTCAATAACCTCCGCCGTCTCCTTCACGTATTCCTCTTCAGAGGAGGCCGCACGGGCCAGGGGAGGTAACAGCAGGGCCGCGCCGGCGGATAGGGAGAGGAAATTGCGGCGGGAGGCGGTAGAGGCTGCGGCGGAGGAGGCGGAGGGTGAGGCTGAGGCGATTATTCTGGAGCGGATGAGAGGCGGAGTAGTGGGTTTAGGGGTGGCGGAATTGGGGGTGATGAGGGTTGGGGAGGCCATGGTTGAGGGTTTGTGGTGAATGGAAATTTAGGTTATTAATTATTGGGCCTATTGGCATCTTATCCAGCATTACGGATGAGGCGAATCCAATAACATTCCAGTTGGCATAAGGAAAAGCCTCAAACATCCAATCCAACTACACACCACACAAAGTGAACTACTACTCCATATTTTTTTCTACCATTTTGGTTATATATTTGTTAAACCGGATGGGACTTGATAAGGTATTTCGTTTGCTGTAAATGTGCATTTCTTAAACGAGATTACGGCCGGCCCGATAGTTGGAGACCCGTGACGGAAAAGGTGTTAAAAATGTGTGTATAGTGGGCCCTCTATGCAAGGTCCATATTACCCCTGAATTTATAAATTTTGTCACTAATACCCTTGCTTGATGTGAAAATTACCAAACGGCATTTACCTACCACTTCTTCGTTGTAGCTTCTTTTGAACATTCATTTCACCTGCAACTCCTCAGCCGTACATCTTGCACCTCTTTCATCATCTGAAGTCGAGATGTACTACAACTACGCTTTATAAAATTTTGGTGAAATTCAACAGGCAAATTCCAAAAGATTAATTGGTGATGTTATATTTCAATATGAGTTGTGTTCAGATAAATTTAGTCATCTTTATATCTGAAGTTGCGCTCACCTAATTATGTATGTGTATCGAACGACGATATCAGTGCGGGTCTCATTAACAGGCTAACATGTTGTTTAACTTCTTATAAACATGTTCTAGCATTATCAAGTTGTGCTGCAGACATTCAACCATTGCCTTTATTCAAATTTATATTTTTGTCGAAACCCTAGGTAAGTTTACTGTTTTGCTGATGAAATTTTTTATTCGTTTTTGTAGTATACACCTATACTGCCTTGATGTGAAAATCTCCCATAAATACATGGATAAGATGTCGTATGTCTTGATATGGTTAATTAGCCTTTTCCAAGGAAAATGCACCTTCCAATGTCATTGTTTGAATGTGGATGTAATAAATTAATTTGTTTGCTAGTAAATTGAAAATCCTGAGTCATATCTTGAAGTCAAGTTCAAATCAGCAAGCAGAATATTCTCCAAGTCAAATGAAAGTTTGAACTTATTTTATTTGCTTATTATCGAGTCTATTTAATTATAGACTAAGTCTTGTTTAATTATTTTGTAGGAAATTAAAAGAGAGGATATGCGTCATACGAAGCACAACGAAATCTTCATGAAGATTGGAGTATGGTGGTACTTACCATAAATAGAGAGGAGGACGCTTGGATATACTTTCCATGTAAGCTGAAGCTTGCGGACGAGACAAGAGAAGCTTACCATATGCGAGAAGGGAAGATCGCAGCATATAGATGATTGGAGATTAATTAAGGAAAGCAGAGAACTAAAAGAACTTACATTATGAAGCAGCGTATACAGAGCCTTTAATAGACACTCTTTCTTACTTGCGTCTTTTGATTATCTTTAGCTGTGCAAGTTGAGAGTGTGACTGAGCGATCTGTGTGGAGTTCATCTTTATTTTATTGAGTACTCAAATTAGAGAGCTTGTTCTCTAATTTGAGTGTGAGTATTTTACTCGAACATTCAAGGTATTTGGGATGAATGCATTTGTACATCGCGTGGGATTCGCATTGTAAAAGTCCACGTGGAGTGGCTGAAAAAATTAATTGAGTTAAGTGATTACTTCGTATGTTAGGAAGAATGAGTATTCATTGTAAATCATAATAGGCCAACCATTTTTTTTAATGAAAGAGCTTCGAAGGGAGAGTGGGATGCTCTCTTGAAGGTTCAATTATTGTTTGAACTGTTTCCGCATTTACTTGAACGTTCACTATTTACTTGTTAGGCGCAATTTTGTTATTCCCCCAAAATTTCAATTGGTATCAGAGCGGGTTTTCGTTAGCCTACACGAAGATCTTATGAATCTATTCACGGGGAACCATGAATCATGATGGTGGATCTATGTCGAGACACCCACAACTGGATTGATCGAATTACTCTTACTAGAAATCGTCTATGTCGAGACCACCGCAACTGAATTGCTTGAATTACCCTTACTGGAAATCGATGATGATCATCTTCCTGCGTTCACTTGGTAAGGTAACTTGGAAAAGCGTAGAGAATGGGTGGAAACATCCACTCACGAGAAAAGCACCAAACAATGAGACTCAGACTCAGATTGAAGAAGTCCTAAAACCAAGAGATATCTAGACGGTTCTCGAAAGGATGCAGTAAGAGGAAAATTTCCGAGCCTTATATGCAATTCTGATGGTCGTTAATCAAACACAACACAAGTTGATAGTTCAATGCACGACAACCAAAGATGCATGGCATATCCTAGAACATTAGTTGATCCAAATCTGTCAAATCTTCCAAACTGCAGCAGGTGGCTTTGGCCTTTGATGACATCAAGATGAAGGAGGGTGAAACAACTTACTCGTACTACTAGAGATTTTGTGATACTGTAAATCAGAGTTCAATGTTGGAAGAAGACATCTATGAAGCACGTCAAGATCAAGTCCAAAATATTATGAGGACACTTCCAGCAAGATTTCTTGAGAATATCACGTCTCTTGAATGCTTTCAAAGAGTCAAACCATTTAATCTTGATGATCTTCTTTGTGATCTCAGAACGTTCGAGATCAATAAAAACTATGAAGAAGTTAAGAATAAGGGTTTACTCTTAAAAGTTGATGTTTCATGTCATACTGAAGACAGTGACGAGGAGGAAGGTTCATTGGAGGAAGACACTAAATTCAAAGAATCATTTTCCTTAATTGCTAGAAATTATGGTAAAATACGACAGAAGATGTATAAAAACAAGTTTGATAAAAAGAAGTTCAACAACACGAACATCTCCCACAAAAATTCCTATCTAGATGAGCGAACCAACATTTCAGTCCTCAAAATCTGAAAGTAAAAATGTAGAGAAGGATCAGTGCAGGCAATGCAGAGGTTTTGGGCACTTTCAGTTTGAATTTACTAATCTAAAGAAGAAGAACAAGTCCTTGGAGGCAACATGGGAGGAATCAAGTGAAGAAGAAACTGAAGAACCTGCATCCCTCACTAGCAACATGGCAGCTCATTCAGGAGAAAATTATCAATGTCTTACCTCAACCATCAATCCATCAAAATTTGATGAAGGTATGAATCTCTCCTAGACTCCTTGTTATGAATTTGATAAATCTTGTGATAATGTAGATCTGAACACGTGTGAAGATCCAGTGCACTTGTTAGCTATGGAGAAATGTATACATGCTGCAACTGCAATTCAGAACCTTCACAGTCAGATTAAAACTCTTAAGTCTCAAGTTCATCAAAGTGATTCAAATTAATAACTGGAATACCTCAAAAAGGAGGTTCAAAAATTGAGGGAATTGAATGGAGCACTGAACCGTCAACTAATGTCATCCTTCTCTCATTAGAAGGAAGTTGAGCTTGATGCAGCAAAAGCTCGAAAAACGATCCTTGAGAATGCCTTGAAAGTATCAAAACAAGCAGGTATTGAAAACATCAGGTTATTGAATTTATGAGGACTAAACTTTTTACCTTGTAGAAGATATTAGGAGATAAAAGACAATGAAGTGTCTATCCTCAAGGGTGAACTCTCATAGAGTTATTTCTCAACATGAGAATAGCTTGAAAAAGAAAAATGTTGAACTAACGTACATCTCAAACCTTGAACAAACTAGACAAGGGGACAACAGACTTGAACAAACTACTCAATATCGAAAAGACCTATGGTGATCTCACGGGAATAGGATACACTGAAAGTAAGGATGAAGGTCCTAGTACCTCAGAAGATCCACCACAATGTGAACACTTCGGACTTGGCTTCACCATGATGACAGAAATAGAAGGTACATGTTCTACAGTTAAACCAGTAAAGAAACTTTATGGATGATTTGTTCCCAGTGCCACATTAATGTAAGTATTGTCCCTGAAGAACTACATGGTAACTTCGTTCCTAGCAGTGTAAGTGAAACCTCTTCTCCTAAGAAAACTATATCGGAGAACGGTCATTCATAAAATTTTATACCCATATGTCATTATTGTGGTTTAAATGGTCACATCAGACCCAAGTCTACAAAATGCAACATGACCTTTGTACTGGAAGGGTAAAAAATTGGAACCATCTTGGAGTACCTGTGAAAGTTTCGAAATCTGAAGTGACAAAGTAAAGGGAAATGAACAAAAAACGTGGGTTGTGAAAACACTCACAAATATTTTGCATTAGTTCTATCCCTAAAAACCTCTCTAAAAAGGTAAATGGTGCCTAGATAGCGGATGCTCTGGCGTATGACTGATGATATTTCTTATCTATGTGATTTGGGAACATGTGCGAATGGTGAAATGACATTTGGTGATGTTGCCAGCAACAAGGATGTTGGCAGTGGATGTCTAAACATTGGTGGCCTGCATAAACTGAAGAACGTGTTGTTGGTTCATAAATTGAAAGCTAGCTTACTTAGTGTTAGCCAACTATGTGATCAAGGACTGAATGTTAGCTTTTCTCGTAATAAATTCTTTATGAAAGATGATATTGATGGTTGCGTGTTGATAGGTTCAAGATCAAGTGACAAATGCTATCTTGTTGATGTCGGTTCGAAGTGTCTACAAGCAGTGATCAGTGAAACTGAGATGTGGCATCAACGCATGGGACACATTAGTTATTCTTATCTTGTAAATCTATCTAATGCAGGCATTGTACGAGGAGTTCCAAAAACTCACCATAAAGGAACATTCTGTTTGTGGACCATGTAAAATGGGGAAACAGAAACGCTAGGCTCACAAAGCGTATAAACAGAATGCAACCAAGAAAGTCCTTGAACTTCTTCACATGGAGTTAATGGGGCCGATATAGGAAGAGAAATATAGCACTATGAAGTACATATTTGTGTGAGTTGATGATTTTGAAAGATTTACTTGGATTGATTTTATTCGTGAAAAATCCAACACATTTGAAAATTTTACAACTCTTTGCCTCAGACTTGAAAATGAAAAAGCTTTTCCCATAATTGGTATTTGGAGTGACCATGGACTTGAGTTTGAAAATAGTGATTTTGTAGACTTTTGAGACTCACGTGCTATTTTTCATGAGTTTTCTACTCCTAAGACACCTCAATAAAATGGTGTAGCAGAGAGGAAATATCGTACCCTGCAAGAGATGGCTAGGGTGATGCTGAATTCAAAAGAAACATCTCATTGTTGGTGGGCTAAAGCCGTAAACACAACATACTACCTCATCAATAGAGTGTACCTTCGTCGAGGTATAGATATCACTTTTTATGAGCTGTGGAAAGGCAAAAGTCCTAACTTGAGTTACTTGCATGTGTTTGGTTGTAAATGATTTATATATAATGATTGTGATCAACGTTGGAAATTTGATGCTCAATGTGATGTTGGTTTATTTCTAGGATATTCTAATAATAGTCGATCATAAGAGTATATAACACAAGCATTCCCACTATTATAGAATCCATGAATCTCACCTTTGATGAAAAAATTCTCAATGTTAGTTCATCTATTTCAATTGATATGTCTAATGATATGTCACAAGTTCAGCAAGAAATGATAGATAAAGTGTCAGACTCAACTGAGTGTCAAGCTGAAGAAAGTTCAGGTGAATTAAAGGGTATCAAGTGTCTGAATACCATGTACCCACTTGTCTTGGAAATCTGACTGAATCCAAATGGGATCCCCTCAAGAATTCAAAAATATCATCCTTCTGATATGGTGATTGGTAGTTTGAACGAGAGGGTAACAAGAAAATCCAAGATCTTAATAATATATATATAAAAAAAAAAAACGAACTGAAAATTTTATTTTGATTGCTTTTAGTCCCCTTTTTTTCGATTATTTCAAAAAATAAAGCCGACATCAAATTGAAATTACTAAAATTTTAAAAGTAAAAACACCGAATAGATATATAAACATTCGGAATGAAAATTTTAGATCGGTCGGTTTTGGTCACTCTTGTGTAGTCGAAGATATTAATGTGCAATTCGTCTAACACTATTTTGCACGATTTCAGTCGCTATTGTAAATTCTGATTGGACCAAAAAAATTTCCAAACCAAATTGGAACTGAAATGAATATAAAAACAGATAATCAGATAGAAATATAAAAAATCGAGCCAAAAAAATTATATCAGTCGGCTCAGTCGCTATTGTGCAGTTTGACAGTCTTTAACGTGCAATTCGTATAACACTATTGTGCACGATTTTCAAACTAAATTGGATCCAAACTGAATTACTTGGTGTATTCGGTCGGTTAACCGAATCAATTAAAATAACCGAATAATATATTATTTCTATCATAAAAACATAGTTAGTATTTTAATATTTTTATTGGATATTTTTTTATATCTTTTTTTGGTTGAAAAGAAATATTATAAAGATATAAAAAAATAATTTTTTTTTCGATCGGTTCATTTCTTTAAATTATTTTAGAAAGTAAAGCCGAAATCGAACTAAAATTTTAAATGTAAAATAGATATATGAATAGACATATAAAATTTCAAACTGAAAATTTTAGTTTGGTCGGTTTTGGTCACTAATGTGCAATCTAGTTCGTCTAACACTATTGTACATCTTGACAGTCATTGATGTACATCTGGTTTAATACTATTGGGCATTCAGCAGTGCGGGTTAATAAAAATATATTAAGTATGTTAATATGTTTATTTAATATTTAATATTATTTTTAGGTTGAAAATGCATAATAAATATATGTATAAAAAAACATATAAAAAATAATAGTTTCTTGTATATTTTTATAAATTATAGATTTGGCCATGGGCTAAATTAAAATATATTAACATTTTTTAAATTGCAATCAATTGCTTGGATCTTATCTAATTCACAAAATAATGCTCAGAAAAGAAGACAAGTTCGAATTCACAAAATAATGCTCAGAAAAGAAGACAAGTTCGAACCTTATGTGTTAAGCAAATCATAAGGCTAACTTCGAAATCGTCTAGATCGTTAATTTCAGAAACTGATCGTTCAGATTCCATCCTTCCTCTGTTGTGACGCAACCACTACAGGCGGCGTCTGATGGCGGGACCTTGACGGTGGCAGCCAAGGGTTGGTGTCTGTGAGAGGCGGCAGAACTTGGTTGGGTAAAGTGGTCGAATTGTGCTTGGAGATCGGACTGTGCCTGGAGGTTGATGGTTATTCTATTCGCCGGTGTCGCATGGTGCACGGCGGTCGCGCGGTTGCTATCGGACAAAGTCGGCTTCACTGGAGACAAGAGTCAGCGGTTAGGAGAAGGTAATGACGGGGTTAGTTTTCTTGCGGGTGAGACAGAGAGAGAGAGAGAGAGAGGGGGGATGGGGTGGTGGCAGGGATGCTCCGACGATGACGGTGCATTAGTGTGCTACGGCAGTGGCGTGGATTTTTCGGTGGGGTGAGTTGGGGCTGGTTTTTTTGCAGGAGAGAGAGAGAGAGAGAGAGAGAGAGTTTTGGGTGGTGGTGGTCGGGATGCTCTGGTGGTGGCGGTGCGTCAGTGTGCTCAGGCAGTGGCGGGGTGTATCGATGGAGTCGGGCGGACAGCGCCGTCGAGGAAGTCCGACTGAGTTATTTGTGTGTGACGGTGTGCATGCGTGTGTGCGTGTGTGTGTGGGTGTTTGTGTGTGTGTGTGAGGTGTGTGTGTGTGAGAGAGAGAGAGATAGTGAATAAGAGAGAGGAAGATGTGAGGTGTCAGGTGGGGCCCACATATGAGTTGGTGTGTAGTGGCGTGAGTCCCTCTGTTTGGGTGTAAAAATTACCCCATTGCCATTAATAAATGTATAATTTTGGCTTTTTTGTAGCCATTGGATCATCTGATCTAATGGCTACGATGTATTATTATTTATTTCATTGAACAGCATTCTTACCGATACATGGCCCTATATATATATTACTAAAATAAAATAACTACGATCACATAACTTAATTGTCGGAAAATGTAAAAAATATACAACACAACTAAAATGAAAATTTGTATCAGTCGGCTGGCCTACACACATTTCATTTTCATTCTACACCAATCAATACATGCAAATAAATACACCATCACCAAACACTACACAGCACGCATAATTGATCCCTTAACTCGCCGCCAAAATAGCCATCAACTTCGGAGTATAAAAACCCCTTCTAAACCCCACTCCACACATTCACACATCACCCATCAAAAACTCCTTTTCTCTTCACTACTCACCATATATATTATTAGTCTAAGATAAACAAATGGCTTCAACCCCTCCCATCTTCCTCGGTCTCACCATCTTCCTTCTCACGTCTCTCACGGTTCACATTGCCAACGGGCGAGAATTCCCAACCGAGAGTGCCCATTTACATCCGGAGTGGGCCGGCCATTTTGACCGCTCGGTACTTATCCCAGGCATTGGCCGAGTCATTTTCCCCAAGAAAGGCTCCCATGCCAACCCCTTTACCTACAATCCTGTCATAGGCGGGTGGAGAGATCTTTGCACCATTTCACCCTTGAGTTTTAATTCTATTTTTTTTTCAGTTTCGAGTGGAATAAGTACGAATGGTTGAAAATGTGATTTCTTTTTCAATCTAGTTCTAGGATGGGTTCGCTCCATTTTAGGTCGTACCATGTTCTTGTTTTCGGTGTGTTATGCTTGGACCTTTTCGGTTTAGTCGTTAATGGAATATTATTCGTTTGCATTTCGATGGGACGAGTTGCAATTAGGCAAGTCAAATTAGAAATCCTTTTACGTGCTAACTAAGTTGGTGATCTCACATAATTTTAGCATTTTAAAACCTGTTTTAAAAAATATATGAAAAGGAGCTTGCTTGTCACAATCAACACAATATTATGGACAAAATAAAGCACTTAATGCTGTATAATACAGTAGTTACCTACTTAATTGAGTGTCATGGAGAAACTCAGTTTAGTAACACGAAATTATCTACAAGCGAGAAAATTTGTAGGATACATGAAGAATATTTTTACAGATAGTGAGAAAGAAGTTTATTATGCAAAAGGAACCAAGGTAGAAATCATCTGATATCCTAAACTGCCCACACATTTTCTGATATGATTCTACTATCAAGGCGAAAATATTTTATAGCTGAACCAAGACCAAGGATCAGAGTTTTGTCAGCAAAAACAGTGTTTTGTGACCCGGACCGGCCCAACAGGTTGACCCGAGACCCGATCGACCCGGAGCCGGAATCGGTCCGGGTGGAGTATTTGGACCGGGCAACCAAGGACCCGGTCAAAATTCGGCCGACCCGGTCGACCTGGGGCATTGACCCCAGTGTATCTTTGCACCGTACATTAGCGAGTAAGAAGATAAAAACATATAAAATTCACTTTATCTTTGCTTCGTTTTATTTTCATTAACATTATATAGACATACAAATTAAAAAGTATAGCAATTAAATACATTTATCTTCTGAGAACATTGGCAGTTGATGATACTTTGTCCCAAACGAAATGAAGTGGTTTGGTTGTGCTCGTTGAGAAGCCTAACTGGGTTCAACCTAAGGTAAATTTATTGAATGATGTTAAGTGTGTTGATTTTGGAGAGTTATATTTTTTCTTTGTTGGTTGTATGCATTGATTTAGTTTGTGTAGTATAAATGATGTTTTTATGTTTTTCATACAAGTGTCGAAAACAATTGGGAGATGAAGAATGTGGATATTTTGTTATGAGGTATATGCTAGAGATTATATCACTTCACATTACCGACTCGTTCAAAGAGGTATGTTTTTATTAAAATCAACTTTTTGTTGTATTTGAAATCACACACGTCAATACATGTTATAGGGATAATATTTGTTTGTATCATGTAGGCTTTTAGCATTGATGAGCCATATTCGGACAAAGACATTGAGAATATAAAAATGCGGTAGACAAAGTACTTTCTTGAGGTTACTTCATTAGGAAAATAAACTTATTAATTTGCTTATGTTTTATGGAATTTGAACTTTATGACAAATTGTGGTTGATGACTATTGTTGGTGTATAGTGCATATGAAAACTATTGTTATAACGTTGTTGAAATATTTTGGTTGTTAGTACTTGTCATGTGACATAGTGTTGAATTGTGGGAATATTTTGAATGTATGAATGTTATTATTTTATAGTAATAAATTTTTAGTTTTATAGGGTAAAAAATTGTATAATTAAATAAAACCGTTGTAAAATGCTTGATTTTACATCGGTTTTTAAATGTTGATGTAAAAAACCGATGTAATTTAAGCATGCTGCATCGGTTTTATAAAGCCGATGTAATCAGACAATTCGACCAAAATATTTTACATCCGTTTTCATAATATTTGATGTCACTATAAGCATTGTTCACCTCGGTTATTTTGAAAACCGATGTTACATGTCTTTATTTACATCGGTTTTATCAATAACCGATGTAAATACAACTTTTTTACATCGGTTATTATAAAAATCGATGTAAATAAAGACATGTAACATCGGCTATTTTGATAACCGATGTCATATTACTAGAATTCACATCGGTTGTTAAACGAACTGATGTAAAAGGGTTTTAATAAAATCGATTTATCCTATTTTTTAGGCCTACTTTTTCACTTATGACATCGGTTTTGGTGAAAAACGATGTGCACGTGTCTTTTTTTCACATCGGTTTAAAACCGATGTAAAAAGGACTGACTTTTAACATCGCCTGTTTTAACATCGGTTTTAAAAAGGGTTTTAACCGATGTGAATATGATTTTTAGCCGATGTGAAAAGTGTTTTTTCCACTAGTGATATGAGATACATATTATTAATATTTTAATATACAAATTTTATACACAAAACATTTAATTTTGTTACTTTTATGTATATTTATATAACAAAAATACTCTATATATAATTTTAAAAATTTTAAAATTAATTATCCGGTTCAGCAATTGACCCGGTGACCCGACGGTTGAACCGGTGACCCGAGGACCTGCCCGGATCGATCACCGGGCCGGGTTTAAAAACTATGAGCAAAAGTCATAAGTCTTTATCTGATCCTAAGATTGTTTTGTGGCATTTCATCCAGGTGGTAGAAGACATAAAGATCTCAAGAAAATCCAACTCTGACGGATTAAATTGTGCATTACAACACGATTACATCACTCGGAAAAATATAACCACCTAATGGATTAATTAAATTCCATGTTCCATATGAAAACAAGAAAGTAGCCTCAAACAATTAAATCACCTAGTTCCTAGAAATTGATGAAGTACAATACAAGTTCGCATTGGGCCACATGTTACGCTTAAAACAGGTGACAAGGCTGCAAAAAATCGTCCAACCCATTCACCAACATAAAAGTGTAAGAAATGAACATCGGTTGCAACTCATTCCATGGATTGCAACCTAGGTTAAACTTCTTAAATAATTAATATTTTAAAAGTGGAAATCTTCAAGTAGCAGGAATATTTCGAACAGTTCACAATGGTACATCCTAGTTTAGGTTTTAAGGGACTCTTAGGGGGTGATTGGATATGAATTCAACTAATAAAAAACTAGTCTTTTTAACTATAGTTAAGTTTGAAAAAAAATAATATAGTTAGTTGTTAGTGGATATATTAAAATAATATTTAAATTAAAATAATTAAAGTTGATTTGATGTAAAAGTAGGAGAAAATGATTGGAAGTGATGATTAGTTAAAATTATGTGAGTGGGTGAATAGTGAATTAAAATTGATGTGATGTGTAATAATGATTGTTTGATATTATTTAATTATATTGATAATATTGGAGATAGTGAAATTGAGTTAAAGTTGAATTAAATTTGAGTTTTGAGTGAAATATTTACTGTACAAATTATAAACAATCACGCCCTTAATTTTCCTACAATATCCACTTGACTAAAAGAAAACACGAGTGATGAGGAAACATCTGGATTTTAGAGAGCAAACCAATGACTCTGCTTCTCAATCATCAGCCACATATTATGAGAAAAAGTTTCCAGTGTTTTTATTGGAATACAAGAAGACTAAGAAAAATTGTCCTCAGCCTTCATAGTTTTTAATACAACCTTGCCAGATACCATGCTTATTTACAAGATCATGAAATATTTTGTATAGTTCTCAACTAATCAAGATTTACAGCTTCCAAATTAATTAATTGTTTCTGAAATTTGTTTCCCAGAAAAATTGTTAGTTAAGATCCAATCATCCAAACACACACACACTTAAATGAAAAAGTACCATGACTATGCAATGAATTAAAGTGTGGGGAGAAGAAAACCAACATGTATTGTGAGCCATCAGGACACAAGCAATTTTAGTAGATCTAGGGGAACTATAAATGCAGGATATTCTAACATTCTATGATAAACTGAAGAAATATTTCAAGTAAAAAAATATTTCATTGATGAAGTAAAGAAATACATTCAACCAATAAAAATAATTCATTGATCAACTAAAAAAATCCATTCAAATAATAAAAATCATTCATCCGCTGGTGAAAGTAAGCATTTCAAACATGATCCAAGCTGAAAGGATCCAAATCACGTACAGAATTATGCTTTACAATAGCATGGATAAACTGGCTCATCAACCGAAATCCAACTTTTCACAAGCTAAAGCAAGATAACTTTTTTTTTGTTGTTTTCTTTTTGTCATGCAATGCAATTTCGCATTGAAGACTCCAAGCTCCCATTCTTTGGTTCCCGCTTTGACACGTGCTTCTAACATTCGTAGGTCCTATTCTGGAGGTATTCATGGAGATATGGAGCCATAGCAAAATAATTCTTTCGCTGTTGACATAAGTAAGCATTTGAAACCATTTTTACCCAATGACAACCTAATCGAACAGTTAAAATATCTGCAAAATTTATCTAAAAAAAAAACACCAAATTCCCAATGCATTTTCCCAGAACAATCTGAAGAAACCTATAATACTATCAATCACATCATTCATTCGCATAATCAAAACAAGCATAATCAAAGAAAAAGAGAAAAGAATATTGAAAGGTACCTGACAAAATCAGAACCCGACCAATTTGAAGAGAATGAAACCAAGGAAACCGAAGAAGATGACTAAGAAAAGGTAATCTACAAAGACGAAAATTGATGACGATCCGCGATTCTTCGTGACTGTTGTTTTCATCTTGATTTGTTGCTTTCTTGTCGGGCCTTGCTCTGCATTGAGCTGTTCGAGTTTCGCCATTATGTATTCAACAGTAATTATAGAAACCTCTATCTATGTATGTGTTCCCACGAGTCTCGATTCGGTGGTCGTTATGTTTTTATAACCTGCAATTTATTTTATTAATTGCTCGTGCGAGATAAACTTTTCTTCTACGGATTCGATCTTGGCGCCCCACTTTTCACCGTTGATTGACGTACAAACACAAGCATCCACGTGGATGTGTGGAATCAATGGTCCACCAATTTTGAGGCTGAAATTCAAAGCTCAATTCATGAATTCCAAGTCCACCAATTTCACATTAATTTAATCACACCAATATATATACAATTTCCAAGCTCCGGATATCCACACAAATATAACCAAATTTTCACAAGATTCTCCTCAAATTAGAGATCTAACAACTTCACAAATATTCACAGATTTAACCACAATTATCCACACCTTTCACCATTTCCTCACAAATTCTCACCCAACAATTAACACCAAATTTAATCAACACTAACACCAATCCAACAAATAATCTCAAGATCCCAACTCGACAATCTAAGGATTCGCATTTCGCAAGAACATACTATAAATTCACGAAGACAAAAGGGAAAACTCGTAATTCACCTCACCTCGGAATCTACACGCGAGGAGGGTCGGATCTGAAATTTGGAGCCTCAGTCGCGACGTGTACGCGTGGAACTTTGTCTGTTCGCGCGCGGTTTCGGGCAGACTTCGGACGGCTCGTCTCAGCCCAGTGCAATGCCGCGGGTCTTGGTGGCCGAACAGATACAGATAGGGCCTCGCTGGTTCGAGACCCGGCGGGGCGTGGGACTTGTGGATGTTCGCTCGCAGGGCTGCGTGCGGCGGCGGCTAGTCGTCGGCGGTGGGCGGACGTTGCTGCGACGATGGCTTGCGACGGCTAAGGAGGTGGTTGTGCGTGGGTGTTCGCCGGCGAAATAAGGCTGCTACTCGGCTGCGGGGAAAAAGCCGCTGACGGCTTGCGCGCGATGGGCTGCTCTTGCGGCGGGTGGCTTGCCGGACATGAAAGGTCGATCGGATTTTGCTCGGGGATTAAAGGGCGATTTTGGAGAGAGAGAGGGGCAAATTTTCAGATCTGAAAATTGTGAAGACGCGTATGGCAAAGGGAGAAGATCAGGCTGTTATCATAGCACCCTAATTGAAATACCAATCTATATATTTGTGTGCAAGCCTTCGTTCTTTTCCAACTTAGGGAATATAGTTGGTTGGGCGTGGAGCCCGTAAATTGCGGTGCCTTGTTTTATTGCTTTATGTTCATGTGGGTGATTGCTTGTTTGCTGTATGCATGCTTATACACTATTCCGACTTTGTGTAATCAAGTCGTGTGCTTAGTGTAAGTGGTGAAAGGCTGACTGGTTTAGGGGGAAACCAGGCCGCATAGGGTGCTAAGGGAGCGAGAATTTTAGCCTCTTTTTAGACTCTGTGACAAGTGGTATCATATATATATATATATATAAAGGTTTGATTATATATATAAAGGTTTGATTATTTTTTAATAGTAACTATTTTCTTTTAAAAAAATTATTTAATCTTAATCTCAATTTAACCACAATTTAAAGATATGAATTACACAAACAAGGATCTAAACGAATGATGATAAAAGAAAACGAGATTTACCACATTCCTCGATTCTACACGAAATGAGGAAAAACGGATTGAGGCTCGAACAAGGTCAATCTCGGCCTCGAAAAAGGTTCAGCTCGCTGCAGCCCGAGAGCCCACACGTTTTCGAAAGCGGCTCGATTGCCGCTGCTGAAGCTCTCGGTCCTGCATCGGTACAGAGGTGCCTCAGCCGGAGGTTGGAGGTTCTCGGCCGCTAATACGAGGCCTCGACGGCAGAATGGTTGCAAACAGGGCCTCTCGGTTTTTGCGGACGGGTCACCGACGGGGCTCCTCGTTGCTCGAACTCGGTTGTGGCTCACGGCGGCTGACCGGTTTGCTGCAGCGGTGGTTCGCTGCTGTCCGGCGGGAAGAGGCTCGCGTCGCCTGTTAATCGGCCGTACGGATCTCGGCGGCTGCTCGCGCGAATAGAGATTAGCTTGGGGTTCGCTGGTGGTCTCGTCGGCGAGAAGAGAGGCTCGCGACGGGGCTGACGGAGGTGATGCGGTGATGCGAGCGGTGGACGATGGCTGTTGTGAACGGTCGGAAACAGGCCCTCGAGAACTCTTCGTCTATGTGCTGGCCCTCGCCGGGAATGGGTTCGAACTCGCCGCTGGTGGCTCGTCCTCGCCGGTGGTGGCGCTCGTCCTGCCGGAGATTGCTAATTGGTCGCGACTATGTAACGCCGGTGGGTTGGAGGAGAAGAGACGTGTGTTGTGTTATAAATCAGGTATCAAAATTACACGGGAATCCTATGAACTGATATATAATTTTCAGTTCTTACAAATAATCTAAAAATAGAAAATTACAATTGAACTGAAAAATAAATTACAACTGAAAAAATTCAAAATGAAAAGATTTTAGCCGAGGCAAGTAAAACTCTTTCCGCAAGAAGAATACGCCCCATGTGGCAGCTAACAGTTCAGGCGTAACTTCCCCAAAGATACAACGACAAACGTCTCTAAATCTGTAGCACACCAGATTTAAGAGCTCCGGCGAACTAGAACGAAGTCGAGAATTGAACACTAAAAATAGAAATAAAATTATATCTCTTTTTCTTACAATTTTTCTCTCTTTTCCTTCCTTTTACTTCCTTTCTTTCTTGCGTTTTTCTTCTCCAAATGAACATGTATTTATAGTGGAGATGATGGTGCATTATTGATGCAATTATCAATTTAAAACCAATAATTGATAATAATACACAATAATTGATAATAATACTCAATAATTGATAGTTAATTAATCAATTATTGATAATAATGGAAGAGAAAATATTTAATCAATTTACACTCAATAATGCTCAATAATTGATAATCAAACTCAATTATTAAAATTATTGATAATAATTTACAATCCTCCACATGAGTGTTAATTAAAAATATATAGACTATTGTGCTCAATCCTCACAAAACTCTATTGCATCAGAGAAGGTAGCTTTTGACTTTGAACCTTCTTTTGTAAGCATCATCGGATGCACTGGCAGACTAGTGGACATAATGCCTTAAACTATTCCTCCATAGTGTACACCTAGACAATGACATTTACACAATAGAGTCTTAACTCCATTCTGTTCTAACGTTATGTCCATTTTGGCCATGGACAACACTTTGGATTCATAAGTGTTTACATTTGAAGCGGCCCACACTTCACACTTATATAGGTGACCTCCCTATCAAGAGTATCCTGTATTACTCCACCTTTACAAGGTTAGGGATTCATTAAAAGTCCATATGACTTACCCTCACCACAATCAACAGGTCATCTTGCACTTGGAGTGCTCTAGGGAATAGATTTGGACATTCATATGTTCCAAGTGTTCAACTGAATTTTCGTAGATTAGTCTTCCCTTTGAACCAAGTTCATGGGATCTCCATTCAGCATGGTAGGGTTACCACTATGATCATTCTTTACATTGTGGATTTTTAAGTCCATTCCCTCTAGCAAAACTCCCAATTGATCTCTATTCAATCCTTTCGTCAAAGGATCAGCCAAATTTTCCTTAGACTTCACATAGTCAATGGAAATAACACCATTTGTGATCAATTGGCGTACGGTATTATGTCTACAACGAATATGTCTAGACTTACCGTTATACAAGTTGCTTTGCGCCCTATCTATAGCAGCTTGGCTATCACAGTGAATCATCACAGGCGGCAAAGTCTTATCCCAACATGGAATATCAGATAAAAAATTTCTAAGCCACTTGGCTTCTTCACCAGCTTTATCTAAAGCGATGAACTCCAATTCCATCGTTGACCGAGCTATACACGTTTATTTTATGGATTTCCACGAAACTGCACCTCCTCCAATGCAGAAAACAAATCCGCTAGTGGAGTGAGAATCCCTCGATTCTGATAACCAACTTACATCACAGTACCCTTCAAGTACAACTGGATATCTCGAGTATTTTAGCCCGTATTCAAGGGTGTACCTCAAGTACTTAAGTACCCTTCTCAAAGCATTCCAGTGTTCATGACTGGGATTGCTCGTAAATCTGCTCAACTTACTCACCGGATAGGCCAAGTCTGGTCGTGTAAAATTCGTCAAGTACATCAGACTCCCTATTATCCATGAATAGTCTAACTGAGCCACTGGTTGACCTTTATTGGCTACCAGATTTATACTAAGATCAAGGGGTGTCTTACACATACGCCTAGACTGTGCACCGTCATAGGCATCAAATGTCTTGAGCACTTTCTCTATATATGAGATTGTGACAAGACAATTCCATCATGGGTTCTAAAAATCCTTATTCCAAGAATAACATCAGCCAAACCCATATCTTTCATGTCGAAATTTCTTTTCAACATTCCTTCGTATCTATGATCACTTCATGGCTACTCCCCATGATCAACATATCGTCTACATATAGACATACAATCACAAATGTATTTGATGTACTCTTGACATAAACACATTTGTCACATTCGTTGATTTTGAAACCATTTGACAACATAACGTCATCAAATTTCAAATGTCATTGTTTTGGAGCTTGTTTCAGTCCGTACAAGGATTTGATCAATCTACACACCTTTCTCTCTTGTCCAGGTGCAACAAACCCTCCAGGTTGTTCCATGTATATTTCTTCTTCCAATTCACCATTCAAAAATGCCGTCTTGACGTCCATTTGGTAAATCACAAGATTGTGCAATGCAGCAATCGAGAGAAGCACTCTTATCGACGCTAAACGCGTAACTGGTGAATAAGTATCAAAGAAATCATACCCTTCTTTTTGTTTAAAGCCTTTGACTATCAATCTTGCTTTAAACTTATCAATCGATCCATCAGCTTTATATTTCTTCTTTAGAATCCACTTGCATCCTAAAGGTTTACAACCATCAGGGAGATCAACCAACTCCCAAGTATAGTTCTGCATAATGGACTCGATTTCGCTATTTACAGCTTCTTCCTAGGGTGGTCCATCTGAGCTGGACAGAACTTCCTTAATGGAACTCGGTTCATCGTCCAACATATACGTAATAAAATCAAGTTCAAACGTTTTAGCCGTTTTTACCCGTTTACTACGTCTAGGTTCTTCTTCAGTACCCTCTGGTACAAAACCACTAGCAGTTTCATACGTTCTTTTATTAGAACGGGATTCTGCTCTTTCATTCAGAGGAAAAACATTCTCAAAGAATATAGCATTCCTTGACTCAATCGTGGTACCAACAGATACCTCTGGATTTTCTGATTTATAAACCAGAAATCTATATCCCATACTATTGTATGGAATACACAATCGACCGTCTTTCTCCCGATTCGCATTTGTTTTTGTTCAGGTACTGAAACCTTAGCCAAACACCCCCACACTTTCAGGTATTTATAAGACGGCTTACGATTTTTTCACATTTCGTAAGGAGTCTTATCTTTCCCTTTAGGTGGTATTTTATTCAGGATATGATTTGCTGTTAAAACAGCTTTCCCCCACATGTTCTGGGGTAGTCTCGAACTTATTAACATGGCATTCATCATTTCTTTTAACGTATGGTTCTTGCGTTCAGCAACACCGTTTGACTGTGGAGAATAAGGGGCCGTCATTTGATGAATTATGCCATATTCAGAATATATTTGTTCAAAAGGAGCTACATACTCCCCACCCCTATCACTTCGGATTATTTTAATCCTTTTGCCGAGTTGATTTTCAACTTCGGTCTTATAGATTTTAAACACTTCCACAGCCTCATCTTTGCTTCTTAACAAATATAAGTAGCAAAACCTTATGCAATCATCGATAAAAGTTACAAAATACTTTTTACCCGTTCTTGTTTGCACATTTTTCATATCACATACATCAGTATGGATCAAGTCTAATGGTTCAGTACTCCTTTCCACCGAGTGAAAAGGCAACTTAGCCATTTTTGCTTCAACACATATTTCACATTTATTATGTGATTCAATTTTAGAATTAGGAATTAATTCTAAATTCATCAACCGTTTAATTGCATTTAGATTTACATGTCCTAATCTAACATGCCATAAATTAGAGCACTCAACGGTATAAACAGAAATAGGCTTTTCA